GGTCAAAGAATCTCCATGATATATTCAAAGAGCATTGGACTAAGAACAAATAATAGTCATGAGTTCAAATCCAAGCTGTGTGACCCTGGGCACATCACTTAACCCCTCTGAGCCCATTTCCTCATCTCTACAATGAAGACAGTGACATCTACCTCAAAGTATTTTTGTAAGATTAAAGAAGTGTAAGCTGAATACGAAGCCAGATCCGTTCAGCATTCATCTTTATAAAATGGCAGAGTCTTCTATGATGGCCTCCAGAATGAACTGACAATGCACTTTGGTAATGCATCACTTATACTTCATCCAAAAATTCTTCCATTAAATGGAAAGGAATTGAGAGACTAAAAGGTTTGAGCCTCCGTGTACTAAACCAGAACCCAGTTCTCAGGTCTCTGAAGTATTGACTAGAAAACTTCTAAAGCATCTCCACCATGCTAATGGGGGAACATTTTCTCACCTTTTTTGCCTTTTCCCCATTCTTTCTTTCTTTCTTTTTCTTTCTTTCTCTTTCTTTCTTTTTCTCTTCCTTTCCTTTCTTTCTTTCCTTTCCTTCCTTCCTTCCTTTCTTTGACAGAGAGAGAGAGCACATGAGCAGGGGGGAGGGCAAGGGGAGCGGGAGAAGCAGGCTCCCCGCTGAGCAAGGAGCTCGATGCAGGACTTGATCCCAGGACCCCAGGATCATGACCTGAGCCAAAGGTAGACGTTTAACCGACTGAGCCACCCAGGCGCCCCCCATTCTCAATTTAAAGGTGACCACATTCCACATAAAACCTACAACAGCCCGCTGTTTGCTCTGCTTCCTTCAGAGTTCTCCTTCTGTCCCTCAGAAGATTCCATTTAAATTCTTCCAGTGTGGGTGGACATGGGATCCTGTGTCTGACACCAAAGAGCTATTGTCCAGAGAAGAGATCCAAATCATTTGGGGTCATTCCAAAGGCCAGAGCTGGGACTAATGGGGTGGACTTAGAAGAAGGTTCCAGCTCTGCATATGGAACATGCTTGTATTAGCGGCTGCTGGCCAGCTATGGGGCAAGCCTCTTGAAGCAGTATGTGTCCCACCAGGAAAGCTCAAGCAGAGCATCGCACCCTCTGCTGCCTGACTTAGCCCAACAGCAAATTATTTTATTCAACCCTTGTTGAGAGACTCTCTGTGTCCCAGGCACTAGGAACATAAGCATGATGAGTGAGGTGCAGCATTCACCTCTCCTGGGTTCACACTGAGGAGACCGACACATAAGCAAGTAATTATAAAACAATGTGGGGAGGGATGCCTGGGTGGCTTAGTCGGTTGAGCGTCTGCCTTCGGTTCAGGTGATGATCCTGGGGTCCTGGGATTGAGCCCCACCCACATTGGGCTCCCTGCTCAGTGGGGAGCCTGCGTCTCCCTCTGCCTGCCGCTCCCCCTGTTCGTGTTCTCTCTCCCTCTCTCTCTCTGACAAATAAATGAATCTTAAAAAAAACAAACAATGTGGGGAGTACAAAAAAGAGAAATTATCAGAGTACTGAGCAGTGGAGCTAAATCAGGTGGGCAGTTCTTTCTGGAAGAGAGGGTACCTCAGCAGTCTTAAAGGATGGAGGAGGGGAAGAAATGAGGGGCAAGATGGGGCAGTACAGAAAGGAGATTCGGGGCAAAAGGATTGAGCAGGCGGACAGAAGCAGGAGTGACAAACAGTACAGTTTCTGAGAGGCATGCCAGGCAGTGGGATAATGCTAGAACATAAAATGTGAGGGCGTGGAGGAGTGAGAACCAAGGCTGGAGCTGGAGACAGGAGCCAGGACGTGGAGAGCCTTGCTAAACTGCATCCTGCAGGAGGAACTTGGTCTGGTAGGTGTTGGGCAGCCAACACCTAGAGGTTTTAAGCTCAAGAGTGACTAAGTTTCTATGATCTTCAATTTCGGTGTTTTTTCCCAAGGGAAACTGCAGGGCAGCTGTGAAAGCTGCTGAACCGGGCTGAGGGAGCCCCGGGGGCCAGCACAGCCCTGCCTGACTCATCGATCAAAGCAAGCACCGAGCTCCTTTGGCCTCCCGCTCTGCTGGGCCTCTTGGTAAAGCTGACTTCAGAAAAAGGTGATGTGGGCACAAGGCAGCTCAGCATTACAAAGTGCTCTGAAGAAGTCCACAGTTAGCCCTGAGCATCCTCCGCAGTGGGGACCTTGGCTGGGAGGCAGGCCTGGGGACGCAGGCTGCAGGGGCCGGGGGCGGGGGGAGTCAGGTTTGCTGCAGTGTGCTCCAGAGCCCGCCTGCATCTCATCTTGCAGCTCTTCCTCCCTCCCTCCTTCCACCCGTCCTTCCTGATATCCTCTGGCTCCTGACTGAGGCTGGGGTAGGAAGGAGGGGGACATGAGGCCATCGTGTGGGGAAAAGCATTAGCCACTGCCACCGTTCTGACCTCCCCAGCTGGGAACTCAATGGCCTCCTGTCCTTTTCCAAACCACTGTCCATCTCCCCTCTCAAGCTGCCATTTGGAACAATCCCTCCCCATCCTCTTTTACCGCCCCCCCCCAGTGCCATTCCTCATTTCCTGCCCCCAGGGGCCTGGGGTCTCCTGTGCCTCTGTGACTTGGTTCTGCCCCCGAAACCTGCTCCTTTGTGACTCCTTCTGTAACTGCATCAATGGCTCTGCCTCACGAAGCCTTCCCTGATTATTCCTTCATACCTGCCCTCTCCCTTCTGTTACCCCCCCTTTGTTCGCAACACTGGAGCAGACTGTCACCTACATACTTCTACTAGTTCAGGCGCTCCAGCCACTCCCCGTGCACTAATCCCTGAGTGGGCATTTCTCACTTGTGGTGTTCCCTCCAAAACATCAGGAGGCTTGGAATGTCCTCCTCTTTGTCTCTCTTCTGAACTCTCTGCTTCCGCCTCCAGGCACAACACAAATGTCACCCTGACCCCAAGGCTTTCCCCTCTCACCTCCAACAGAGATTAAATCTAACAGGTCTCTATTTACCTTTATGAAAGTATAGGCTTTGCTTATGTCCTAATAAGGTAGGACTTATGTGCCAGGCATCTCTCAGAGAACTTTACATAGTAACTCATTTAATCCTCAAGGCCACCCTGTTATTAGCTCCAGGATAGCCTGCCCAAGTTTACAGCTAGTCAATAAAAACATTCTTGAACCCACATTGCTTGGCTCTAATCAGTTGTTTTGCTCCTCCCCACCCAGCAGGCTTCTTCACCTGCACACCAGGAAGCCTTGGAGTCCAAGAGCTACCCTCTCTTCTCCTGGTTCCCTATGTGCCTGGCACCCAGCAGGTGATTACTAAATGTGCTCTGAATTCAACGGAAATTTAGCACGCATTCCTGTGTCTTCTTCACTTGTATGTTCTGTCTCCTTGAGCCGTCCGGAAGATCCTCAAGGAGAAAGGCCTAGGTCATCTGTTTCTTTCTTTCTTTCTTTTTTTTTAAAGATTTTATTTATTTATTTGACAGAGAGACAAAGAGAGAGCACAAGTAGGCAGAGAGGCAGGCAGAGGGAGAGGGAGAGGGAGAAGCAGACTCTCCACTGAGCAGGGAGCCCGATGCGGGGCTCGATCCCAGGACCCTGGGATCATGACCTAAGCCGAAGGCAGCCGCTTAACCGACTGAGCCACCCAGGCGCCCTGGTCATCTGTTTCTTGGCAGGCCCACAATCGTGACGTATAATGAATTGCGGGATACGCAGAGAGCTTGAGGGGTGCAGCTAGGGACAAACTAATTGTAGATTAATATATGTCTTACATGTGTACAGTTTACAAAGGCTTTTTCACACATGCCTGATCTCCTAGGTCCTGACGTCAAGGAGACAGCTATGGATTGGATGCAGACAGGAAGAGAAGACTGAGGTGCAAGATGACGTGAGTCCCGGCTAAGCTCTCAGAGAAATCCAGAAATACCTGGATCACATACAGGGATTACAGCCCAGGGCTCGGAATGAAGCACCTGAAAGCCACAGTCTGTTCACCCGTGTGGTTTTAGCCAGCTTTGGCCATCAGGAGTGGGTAGGCTCAGGGAGTAGCTCTGCCCCCTGCCAGGCTGGTCTTGACCACTGGGACAGGCACAGGAGACGGGGGGGGGGGGGGGGGGGGGGGGGGGGGGGGGGGGGGGGGGGGGGAGGCAGGTGAGAGGCGTAGAACCCACCCAAGGGGAGCCTGGCTGGGTCTGCAGAGAGGAGGCCAGCTATGCAGAGGTGGGGCAGGATGTGTTACGGCAGGTTCAGCAGGAACTCTGGGGACCTTCTGCAGTGTTTGGTCACCCTCGCCAGCCAGTACAGAACACTCACGACATGGTTTCCAAGTGGTCTGATAATACAGATATGAAGAGTCTGGTAAAACTAGTTTGACCTTCCCACTAGCTGGAGATAGTCAGTTTCCCTACTATTTGTAACTATCCCATGGCATTTCTAAAACTATGTACCTTGATTGTCCTAACTCAACAGAACTTCAGGTCGAATTTACTCCATGTCCTGTGCACAAGGGGTTTTCAGGCTCAGGTAGCCTCTGCAGAGGAGCAGCTTTTCCATAAGTAGAAAGGGCAGTGAACCTCTAAGCCAAAACACCTGCCCCATCTTACCAGCTGGGCAGATTTCCACAAGTCTCTTCACTCCCTGGGCCTTGATCGCCCCTTCTGCAAAATGGGCACGAAAACGCCCACCCACCTACCCGGGGGGCCCAAAGAACTATGGCAACAACCTGCGCCAAGGCCTGTGGGCTCCCAGCCTAGGCTTTCCGCAGATCTGAACTGTTCATCTCGCGCTCCTCACCGGTCAGGAAATGAATGAGACACTGCAGATGTCTACCCCGAAATGTAGGGGAGAACCACCTCCCACTGGGGACCACGGGGCCCCGGCGGCTTAAGCGGAGGCTCGCGGATCGCCAAGCCCCGGCTGCGCCTTAGACAGGGGTGCGGCGGGGCGGCTCGGAAACCCGGGGTTCCCGACCCGGCCCCGGAGGCGCGGGGGCTGCCTTTCCCCGCCCCCGGGGGCCAGCCCCGCGCCCGGGCTCGGGCTCAGCTCGCTCACCTGCGGCTCCACCAGCCAGCGGGGCTGGGCTCCGGCGGCCGCGGGGCGCGCGGCGCGGAACGCCGAGTACACGGGGATGCGGTCCCGGCGGCTGTACAGGGTGGCGAAGCGCTCGGCGCCCTCGAAGCGCTGACAGACCTTCACGTGGGCCTCGGCCGCCAGCCCCGCAGGCGGGGCCCCGGCGTAGAAGAACCGGTCGCATTCGCCGAAGCCGGCTTCCTCCTCGCCCACGAGCCGGCCTTCCAGCAGCCCGACCAGGGCGAGGAGGCTGCCCAGCGCGAGGCAGCGCGCGGGCCGCATGGCGGCCTCTGCGGGCGCGGCGGGGCCGAGCGGCGGCCGGGGCGGGGTGGGGGGATGGGGGTGCGCGCGGGCTCTGCGGGCCGGGCCGGAGGGGAAGTCGGGACCCGGGCGCGGCGCTGCGGGGTGAGCGCTCGGCGGGGCGGGGCTGGGCGGCCCGGCGGCCGGGCGGCGGGGGCGGGCCCGAGGCCTGAGGCCGCGCCTCCCTCCCTCCCACCCGCCCGCACCGAAGATGGCCGCGGCGGCCGGGGACTCGGGGCTCGGGGGTGCGGCGGCGTCCCCGGCTCCCCCACCCCGCGCCTGCCGCCACGCCGCCTCGCCTCTGCAGGCCGCGGGGACGCGCCCCAAGAGTGGGAGGCCCGAGTCGGGTGGGCCCGACCCGAGGGGCTGGGAAGGGACGGGCGGGGCGGGGTGCCCGGAAGCCTCTGGAGCCAGCGCGCTCCCGGAGTCGTCAGGGATGCTGAGGGGCGGCGGGAGATGTGCGCGGAACTGTGGCTCTTTGCGGCGAGTGGGCAGAGACCCCCCCCTCTGAAATCCGGTGAAAAGTGGAAGGCTCCACCAGGCGCACACGTATAAAGCTTTGATGTCCTGTTAGTGGATCAGAAGCCCCCAGCCTCAAACTGAGAAATCTTGTTGTAGGAAGTTCCTAACCAGGCAGACAGGAGAGCCCTGCTGTGGTTTACTTGGTCCAAGGCTGAGAAACAAAACCAAAACCAAGAAAGGACACCAGCGGGCATCCTCGGTTAATGTGTTTATTTGATACATTGTTTCATTCACCGCACCGAGTGCCTTCACGCTAGCCTAGGTTAGGCACAGGGGTAAAGCCAAGGGCCCCCGTGGCATGAAGTCGACAGCCTACTGGGAAAGCTTGTCATTAATCACAGAAGCATGCTATTAAAGGAATAATTAAAAACGGAATATGGAACGTTGAGAAACTGGCCCCTTCCAGTCTGTTTGCTTTCCTTCCAAAGGTAAAAATTTATTATAAGATTGAGCTGACTTTTGTAAATTACACATGTTCTCGCCCCAAGAGTCTGGAACAAACTACAGGGTTGTAGTGCCTGGATCTAACTAAAGATTTTGCTGCCGGCTCATTCCAGGCTATGGTCCTTGTTAGCTAGCTGCGTGTTTATGTGCGGTGCCCAGCGCATCCACCGATCGCTGCTGTCTCCCCATTTGGTCGCTTCTGGTCCCTCTTTTCCACTGACTCCCTTCTCACAGGGGAGGGGACTTCAAGCCAGATCCTCTTGGGCTTCTGCACTCATACCCCATCAGTAGATAGCCTTCAGCAAAGGCCTGAAGAGGAAAAGTGACGGCCGGTGTGGAATAAAATGACATTCTACTTATACGTATGCCAGTTGGTTGTTTTTTTCCCCCAGTTTGTTTGAAATCAGGAGGTAAACTAGACACTTCACACCCCTGTCCCCACCTCTGTGCTCTGATGACAATTCATACCCTGCCCCCCATCACCACCTTAGACCAAGCCAGCCGCGGCTCACACCCAATTTTTATCCCTTCATCCCCTCCAATCCATTCTCCAGCTGGAGGGACTTCTTAAAATAAATCTGATGATGTCACTCAACTCTTAACAGCTGTTTAAGTGGAGACTTGCCTGAAGATGCCACTTGACTCCCTGCTTGACCCCATGACCACTGAGATCTGGCCCTCCTGATTCCTCAGCTCTAGTCTCCCACCAACCCCCTAAACGCTAAGTAGTATTGGATTCTTTGCAGTTCCTCAAATGACAATGCTCTCTCTTGTGCCTGAGACTTTGCATCATAAACTACTTCTGCTCGCCTGGAATTCTCACTACTCATGCATTCCTGTCCCTTCACCCCTTTCATTTAGGCCCCCCGCCAATGATCCGGTTAAAATTAGTTCCACAAATCACCCACCTTCCTGACAAGCTTGCCCTTCCCCCTCCCCCCACATGAGGTTAAGGGCCCCATCTGATGGTGCCTGCCACGCCCAGTATATCCCCTGTATCTGTTATCTCCCCCCTTAGAAATTCACATAGTGCCTGTCATAGGGTAATGATTGAGTGAGGGAGTAAATGATTGAGTGAAAGAAAAAAACCCTTCTTCCATGAAACTTTATTTGGATTCTCATTACTCTAGTTCCTTCATTCATTTTCAAATGTTTTTAAAACATCTACCATGAGCCAGCCATTGTGCTAGATGTCGAGTATTCAGGGGAGCAAAGTCAGACCTGGTACTTGCTCTCGTGGTGTTCAGGCTAGCACCTCGAAGGGCTGCGCAGGTAATCAGGATAGAAAGCAGAAGGATCCTGGGTACCTGCTCTGCCTCAGACCAGAGAAGGCACTGCTGGGAACTTTCTGGAACGTGGACTTCATTCCAATGCAAGACTGACACGCACTGGCCTTAGCACAACAGAACTTAAATAGGCAGGGAAGACAGATAAGCAATTACAAGACAGTGGGGGAAGTGTGATGTGCTATGAGGGACGAGAAGGCTAGTCTGGGAAGAAGTTCTAGAAAGACAATGCATACAGTAGAAAATCCCACTTCATGATGAGACATGTTGAAACAGTGGCTCACAAACTAGCACAATAATTTCTAGCCAATGTCTTTGGCTCTTCTCTCTGTGGATCATCTAGCACTTGTACAAAATTGACAAGTTAATATCCCCTGTATCTGTTATCTCCCCCCTTAGAAATTCACATAGTGCCTGTCATAGGGTAATGATTGAGTGAGGGAGTAAATGATTGAGTGAAAGAAAAAAACCCTTCTTCCATGAAACTTTATTTAGTTTATTTAGTTTAAACTTTATTTAGTTTATTTAACTTCCTTATTGGAAGTTAACCTCATTTGGATCACTAGGAGCAGTGAGGAGGTTGAGAAGTAGCGCCTCTTTGGTTTAGAATGCTCAATTTATTTTCCTAATGATGACTACACCGAAGAAAGCAGGCCTGGCTCACCACTCCAGTGAGCGGCGGAAGGCCGCTGAGTCAAAAGGGCTGTTGACACCCACACCAGCCGGAGACTGAGTCATGCTCACCTAGATTGGAGGCAGAGCTGTCTTCTTTCTAGCAAAGCTAAACTTTGGATGATGTCTAAAAGTAATAATTAGACAACTTCTGTTCTCATAGAAGCAGCATTCATGGGGCACCTGGGTGGCTCAGTCAGTTACGCATCTGTCTTCGGTTCAGGTCACCACCCCGGGTTCCTGGGATCGAATCCCTCCTCTGGAAGACTGCTTATCCCTCTCCCTGTGCCCCTCCCCCCGACCCCACTTGTGCTCTCTCTAGCTTGTTCTCTCTCTCTCTCTCTCTCTCTCAAGTAAAAAAATAAAATCTTAAAAAGAAGAAGCATCCATGTGTGCACATACACACTGGCTCCCCATTAGCCTGCACCTGGCCCATGGAACTGCTGGGCACTTCTGGGTTATTCAACTGCCTTCTGGATATTTGTCCAGACATTAAAGGATTAGTTCAGGCAGGAATAACTTTGAACCCGTCAAATGGAGAAATATTTAAAATAATTTATCTGATATACCTCAATAAAAAAATGGATAAAATAAAAGTAGATTTTTCCGAAACTTTTTTTGGCTTTCCATATCTATAGAGAGAAGAGTGTAGTGCTTATGATCTTGAACTCTGGAGAGAGACTGTCTGGGTTCAAATGCTGGATCCTCTTACTGGCTTTGTGATCTAAGGCAACTTGTAGAATCTCTCTGCGCCTCAAGCTTCTCTTCTATAAATGAGGACAATGATAGCACTTACCTACTAGTGTTAAATGTTAAATGCATGAATACACCATGTTTCATTGAGTGTAAGTCATGCATATTCCCATTGAATATTTCTGAAGTTGAGGTGCATTTTACAATTGATAGTGTGGCAGAGTTTAATTGTCTCAGGGCTATGTAAAATAATTGTGCATTTTTTTTTATTATTATGTTTTGTTAATCACCATACATTACATCATTAGTTTTTGATGTAGTGTTCCATGATTCATTGTTTGCGTATAACACCCAGTGCTCTATGCAGAACGTGCCCTCTTTAATACCCATCACCAGGCTAACCCATCCCCCCACCCTCCTCCCCTCTAGAACCCTCAGCATCTTATAATCAGCGTTGTCTTAGATGTAATGAAAATCAGGATACAAAAAAGAGCTTAGAAAAGTGCATAGCAAAAAAAAAAAAAGGAGAAGTGCATAGCACACAGAAAATACTATATAAGTATTTAATAGATTATAGATATAAAATATAAATATAGTTCCTCTAACTTCATCAGAGCCAGTCAATATAGCCCATTTTAAAACAGTCGTCCACGTTGGCAATGGCAGATAGTGACATGACTGACCCATTTGCCAGGAAAGAGAGAAGCTGCTCTTAACACCTGGCTTGGGGTTGGAGGAGACATCTGATATCCATCCCTGTGTCTTAGCAAGATCTCAGAAAAATATGTATCTGAGAACTGCTGAGACATGGGTACCCTGAATGGGCTAATAATGTGGCACCCCTCTAAGTCAATATTCTTTATCTAATTATTTATTGGAGAGACTGGATGCTCTGGCACACAGCAGAGAAGTAGGATCTCTGATGGTGGGGCTCAGCAATCCAACTGTGGCCCCAAACCTGCATATACCAGGGAGCACACCAAAACTGTAGAGCTAACCACCACCTTTAGAAGGATAGTGACCATCCAGCTACTCAAGAGGGCCCTTTGGAGATTTTACACCCCTCCCCAAGGGGCTCATCAAAGTATTGCTTTCCAATCATATACAGCATTCTCCCCAAGAGAAGGTTCAATAAATATATATATATTTAAATATCATCACGTTTCTGGTAATGCTTTAGCAAACCTTGGAGACTCATCCTATGAGTGACTCCCATGCTTCTTCCCATCAGCCATAATTCAGCTCAACTTCTGGGCCTCAGAAGGCCCAGATGACAGGCAGGCAGATGTAAGTGGGTGCTGTATATTTAGAGAGGGGATCAAAAGCAGCTTCTGTTGCCTTTTGTTTCTTGCTGATTACATGTTC